GGGATTTCAATCTAGCCAACTCTAATGGGTACCTTACATTAGTTTGAAAAAGCAAAGGCGGTTTATCGTTGTGCTTGTGACATGACAACTGTCGTTAACCGTGGGGCACAAATATACATGACCTTTACATCATCTGCCCTGAAGGTCGTAAGGTCTGAAAAGTAGTTCTTTGTTTTCTTTTTTTTTACAATACTATTTTTAGGCCTATGTCTTGGTCAACTATTATCAACATATGACAACCATTTTTAACAAAATGAAGCAGGGGTCTCAATAGGCGTCATATTAAGCACAGTTTGACACATTGTTCTATGAAAACCAATCCATAGATCTCAATACTAATTTTACGATATTTGGATTGGCCGACGTTTTTAGATAATGCGATGTGGCCAGCACAACGACCAAGCGCCTTCACTTCTCCAAGAAACTTAGATGGATTCAGGGGTATCCTAAAAATACTAAAATAAAAATTCATTCTTTACTGGAATATGAGCGCGACACCCTTCGGTTTGGAGGGGAAACAATGTTCCACTCGGACACTACGCCCAACATATAACTACTATTTTTAAAAAGTAGTTTTCACATTCTTAGGAGTAACCAACTTTTAGATAAATCCATATCCATGAAACAATCGTCTTTTCTCTTTCCTGTTCACAGCCTGTTCCAGTCAGTATGCACGGTGGTCATGGGTTCTATTACAAACTGGACATAACTCCATTGAACCAGTCAGAAAGTGTGAATGAAACAGCCATTGTAACTGACTGGACTACGCACTACTATTCTGTAAAAGTTCAAAATATATATGCACCTTACAGGATCACGATCAAATCATTCAATAGTCACGGAGAGTGCACGTCACAACCACCAACCATCATTGGCTATTCATTTGAAGCAAGTAAGAATGAACATTTTGTTTTTTCATTATTTTCATTTTGTGACTTATGTTCGTTTCCAATTAGTTCATGGGGGAATGAAATCTGTTTGATGTACTCTCATGTTCTCTTTGTTTCTAGAACCTGTTATAACTCCAACGAATGTTGTTGTTGAAAATGTTGGTAAAACATTCGTGATATTAAGCTGGAGCTTCGATATTCAAGAAATTCGAAACAATAATTCAAAACTCAGAGGAGAATTTAAGGGATTTAAGGTAAGACTGGTTTTGAGTGTGTGTTTGTATTGACAGAAGAAAGTGTAAACTATCTTGCTACTGTCTTAGTTGATTTATTACTTGACCCATGAACTATCAGAAGATGCTTGCTTGTAAATGTTCGGACGTATTTTAGTGTAAGACAGATAGCAAAGAAAGCACTGACACAATATGAAATGTTTTAGTCCACTACAGGAGAGTTAGAAACAAACCAGGCTGAGAATTACTCCCTTAAAGCACCTGAAAGGAAGTGGGCATTGCGTTTCAGGGTCGTCTTACCCCAGTACAAGGACAGCCCTAATGCGCACACGAACCTATTCACTCTTTATCAAATCCTTGTTCCAATCACCCTTCATTCAGAACGCGACATACATAAAGAATGTGGTGTACTGTTTCTTCGTACTCGACGGAGTGACGACACCGTGTGAATAATTTTCCCTGAAGCGTCCGAAGTAGGCACCTATTGGAAAATATCCGACTCTGAACTGGGCTAGGACGGCCTGTTCCACACGACTTAGCTGCCTCCACGCGTCCTTTTGGTCTGGTCTTTTCGACTGCCACTATACAATAAGAATTTCCTACACATTGAAATAAAGAACCGACACGGTGTAGTCTCTGTCTCTACTATGATGTTACGTCTGCAAATGCCCCCACGCTGTTTACTTAACTAAGCCAGTCTCCATTTTAAGTGACGGCAAAATAGCGTCGCATATAAAGTTCGTCTCCTGAGGTGTGTCGCTATGTCTAGCACAATACATGGAAGAGCGTGACGATTGATGACACGCTAGACATTGTGGAGGCTGATTGGCGAGATATTGTAGATTTAAGTGAGTCGAAAGATATGTTCAAATTACTTGCGATTACGTTTGTTATGTTGTGTGACTGATCTCGACGGCCTTTACATATTTGTTAATCAACATTTCTAGCTTTAGTTTAAATATATGTTTGAGTTCATACATAAATAAAAAAAAAGGTTAGATCAGTTGTCTGGAAAAAAACATCGGAACACCCAAGCTCATTCCAATTTTTTAAAACTGCGAACTAATTTATTACATTTACTAAACTGTTATCAGTGATTACTCTTATTCTATGTACTGGTGTTTGTTTCTTTTATACTTGTAGATAATTGTCCGAAGACACGATAACGAAGATGTGCTACTTGAGCACCTGACTGGTCCAGACATTCTGTCCAAAGTTTCAGGCAATACATTTACAGCTCTGGTGGAAGGTTTACCAGAAATCACGTTGTTGACAGCTGGTGTTGCAGTTTTGAACACTTACTATCAGAGTGACTCATCAAGTTTGGTTAACTTCACAACTGGATGTAAGATATGTGTGTGTGTGTGTGTTTGTTTTCTTGTTGTGAATGAATACGAATCCGAATTCTATCAATTTGATTTTCTCTTGAACATTGAATTGAACCCAATCTAATTGTCAACTACAACTATTTGTGCTAAAGGTTTTTAATTTAAAGGATCATTTGAGCCAAACAATAAATAAAATTGGTAAAAAAAATATTTTTAATCGCACAGAATTTTATTGTTTGTCTAGATCTGTAACAAATTTAATTACATGACTGATCCAAACTAATTAATATAAGCTTTGTTGGTTTGTTGGTTTTTTAATGTATTTTTAAAAATGTTTTTCTGGTGTTTTTTTTGTTATCGTTTTTTTTTCATCTGTCCATATTCTAATGTGTGGTCTTAATGCTTCCTTCAGATGCAGCTTTGCAAATAGTAACATCTCCAGCACGCTATATGAATGCAACGAGTGGAAAACAAGTTTCAATGATGTGCAAGACAACTGGTAAACCCAAAGCCCAGATCACCTGGTACAAAGACTATGTGCATATAACAGGAGGTCAATACAGTGTACTATCTGATGGTTCATTAGTTATTCAGGTTTGTAGAACAGTAGATTGTAATCAAGCTCTGATGTAAATTATAATCAAGCTCTAATGTAGTAGATTATAATCAAGCTCAAATGTAGCAGATTATAATCAAGCTATAATGTACTATTGTGAAAATGTGTTTTTGTGGTTGATTCTTTGAGAAAGTAATCCAGCAATAGAGCTTTAAATATCTGAAGTAAGCAAAATTGCAACATGAAGACCTTCTGAACAATGTCAAAAATGAAATAAAAAAAACAAGCTAAAATTGTACAAGAGGCGGCTTTAAGTGGCGGCGAATAGAATCGTTTGTGTTCCTTAACCCATCGTACAAATATTCACAAATACTGGTATTCATTTTTTAATGGTAGGTGGTTGTATTTTAATTCCTACACCAGTACAAAAAAGCGATGTAGTCGTATTATATTTTAGTAAAAAAAACTTTAAATAACTTGAAAAACTATAAAAAAGAAAATCTCTTACCTACCTACTTACTCTTATTACAGCATACACAGAACAACTTATTTAAAGACATATTGATTTAATAGATACAAATGAAAAAATGTTTCAACACAATCTAACTTACTACTAAAACACTTCACCTATTCATGTCTCTGGGTCGTCTCCTTATTCTTATTTAGATTACGTAAGGTCTTATCGTGGTGTCATCATTCTGCACTCATTTTGTCCAGGCGTTACCTGGAGACACAACACACAAACACATTCCATAACAGCCTGATTGACACCCGCTCAATGTCCCTCGCACTGCTAAGGCCGCCTCTGATTGTAGGAACATATAACAAGATACACCGGCTTACTAAGGCCTTTCTATAGGGAAGAGTATGTGTGTAAGGAAAGTTTGTCGATATTTAAATAAACAAAAAATCCGTCCACCCAATAAATCCATTACGTCCATTATTTAATATTTTTTTTTATATTGCTCCCACGATTTGTATCTATATTAAAGATAAATAATCTGTTTATACAATCAATTTTTCTTTCCAGTCTGCTGTGTTGACAGACTCTGGGCATTACATTTGCCGAGCTAACACAACGTACGAAGTGAAATTGGCGGGAACTCATCTTTTCGTTCTCAACTAAAGAAGCCCGACACCACTTTGTTGTATCTTGCTTGTTGTGATCACATTGAGCCTAGTAGGCCTATGTATCACTTTCAGAGACACCTTGTGATCACATTGAGCCTAGTAGGCCTACTTATCCATTTCAACGACACTTTGTGATGTGAGTCTTGAGTTTGGACAATATCTTCCCTTGCTAAATAACGTCAAGGAAGCTAAATTGAAATTTAGTCTTGACTAAGAATTGAGCTTTATTTTTAACATAACCACCATGCGTAAAAGTCTCTATATCTAACAATTCCTTTATGTCCGGGCAGTACAGAAGAGAGGTGATCGCTGAAGTGTGGGCAGTCCAACACACGCCAATGTAGCAAATGTACCGTTCAGGTTTTCCCCAGCAATGTAATGGTCACTCTGACCGCTAGCTAATTGCCCGTTTTGTTTTCAGTAAGTTATAAGTCAAAGAATGAAATTTTAATGCTTTCTCCATTTGAAATATATTGTGCTACTAAATGTGATACTGCAGTGCTACAAAGTGATTACAAATTCTCATATACCTTTAAAAAAACGTATTCTATCAACGATTCCATTTTTTTGTAAACAGGAAATACCAAAAAGATAACCATTTATATGTTCCACCTGTATGAAAATCTATAAGGAGCTGATGCTACAATTTGATGAAAATGTAAAAACTTTGTCTAGTATGCAATTCGGTAAATCGTTTATGTAAAAAATATGTAGTGGACCTAAGACCGTTCTTTGAACATAAACAATAAGTTTAGGGACACAAACATTCTATTGATGTGACTTATTTAATTACAATATCTACATCATAGACTTATATATTATATCTAGACTGGAATCCGGAAATAAACTCTTATCCACATCAATAGAATGTTTGTGTCCCTAAACTGATTGTTTATGTTTTTGTTATAACTCTTGGACATTTATACTTATACATTGATGTGCCAAAATATTTTGTTTTACATTTTCCAAAATTAAACACTGTCATTGCTTTGTTTCTATTTCTTTGTAATAATTAGCTCATATATTCTTTTTGCATTGATTACATTTTGTCGCTAACCAGGACGGGGCAATATGTGGTTGAGAGGTCGGACACGCTTGGTTACGGTTAGGCCATCTAGCTTTGTGGCTGGAACTTCAATCCTGGACTCAAGCAGAGTTGTGTTTGCTGAACTGCCTCAATGTAACAAAATAGATTGGACTATAGGCTATACGCATAAGAGATAGACTAAATAAAAGCAATGAAAAAAAAAAGCGAAACATTTGATTCTTTGCAATGTTTGGAACATAAATTCTCTTGGCATCGCTTTCATCAGTGGTTCTCAATGTATTTGACCCGGTGACACCTTTATTATATCATATCATAAACTGACTTACCCAATACTAGGGAAGGAAAACACCAAAGAAAACAACTCCAACTCCAACAAAAGATCTGCCATCGGCACAACCCCAACAGAAGATAAAGGAACGGCATCAACAAAAGCACGTCCTTAGAAACATAAGTACATTATTGTGCACACACAAAAAACATCCCCCAAGATGCGCACGACAATTCTGTCAGGGTGGGATTACAGTTTAATTAGGGTATGATATACGATCCCGGGTTCCCCAACCTGAAGAGTGTAAACAAAACAAATAATACTAGCGTAAGAACTGTGGTTTGCTAACATTGAGTAAAGGTTGCTCAACTGAACATGTAGTGAATACCAACAGTTGTTCGACGTGAACGATATTAATGATTACCTAAGTTAACTTACACTAGTTAACAACAAGATTGTACGTGGCAAGTGGGGCAACCGCACAAGGCCCCGCGCCTAAGAGAAGGCCCCGCAATAGGAGATTTATCTTGTCACCGTCAGGTTGGAAAACCAAACCAGTTCTCATAAACTAGGTCTTGTTACTCAATATTTCCTGGCATCTATATGATATCAATTGCCATGCAATTGTAAGCTCTTAAAATGACATTTTTGGTTTCGAAATACCGTTCAGTTTCGGTAAAGACGGTATCTTATGAACTGTAGTGGGGTTTGACGGATGCCGGTAAAAAGTAACGAGGAACTGAGACAACTCGATACAATCAGTGTACCCGTTAGATCGTTTGTTTTTGTTTTTCAAATTGTTAATGTAAGGCTGGCTGCCACAATCTTTTGAATACAAAATTTGATTCAAATATTAGTAAGTAATCTTAATCGTATTTATTTTCTTGGAATATTCACACAAGATTATAATTTTTAAAATCTTCAATCAGTTTCACTAATAAATATTTAATAAAGTGGCATAGCAATGTACCCTCGGGTCCAGCTCTAGGAATATGATTGGGCCACCTCTTATAGTGTGAATGAACCCAAACTGGGCTCTACTGTGTGTAATTAGAGATTTCAATGAAAACTAACCTCTACACCAGACAGTGCACAAGGTACACCTGCTCCTCATGGGGTAATAGAAAACATTTCCCTCAAGCTTTGGATCCGTCCAGTCTCGGATAGTGTGTGCTGTCCAACACTACTACCCTTATTCTAATGTGAGTCCAAATACATCCAATGGACACAACAATTAACTATAACATACTTGATTTAGCTTGTGAAGATTTCAACTGAAGTTTATTTACAGATGGGGATGATCGTCTTGACCATGTAACATTGTATCAGTCTATTCACTATTCATCTTTCTATATAAGCCCTAGCCTTATTCTTCTCCTATCATGTACCTGTATTCTGCAACGTCATTCGTCTGTCTGACTACGTCACTACTTTTACCATCGCTAAAAACAATGCGCAATATATTTATTTACGGAACTAACAAAATCTTTAAACTTAACTAGGTCACCGCAGATCATTTGAGGGGCCAATATCATTGGTCAACATGTAACATGTCGGGAATCAGATAATCCGAATTTGTATTGGTCGTCAACGGTATAAGAACTTTAAGAGCAGTGAGATACATAACAAACGAATATTCACATTTGACTAGAGTAACGCCTCTAGTAAAATCACTAAATTTAGAAAGTCTTCTGGACAGAAGACTCAAAAGTAAAGTAGCAATTATACATAAAACACTGAACCATAATCTTCAAATACAAAAACAAAATTTAATAAAATACTCTGAAAGACACAAAGATAAAGATGTATTCCACGTCCCATATGCTAGGACAAATTTGTACAAATACTCCTTCTTCCCTAGTGCTATTAGAGCATGGAATGGGTTGCCTGAGCTAGCCAGGAAAACCAGTGACTTGGCAGAATTTAAGTCATTGGTTAATATGCATGACTAAATGCATGACGCGTAGGACGTAATCATCTTCTTTTTTGAGGTAACGTCTGTATTATATAAGATAAGATTAGAAGACTTCCAACAGTGCAATTGCCCTGTTGTTTTACATCAACTTTGTCTAGTTAGGAGACGATGGTTTTTAAAGCACCTTTGTAAATAAATGAATGTTCAGCCTGCTGAATAGAAGTCTCAAGCTCGGTGTCCATGCTCAGATAGTTGACTTAGTGAAAAAATGTTAGTGTATTTCTATAGTAACATAGGATTTGACGTTGTAATATTAACGCAACTCGTGTATGAATAGATTTGGAATTTAAACCCGATTAAATGATTTACGTCTTATATTTACTCATACAATTAATTCAAGTATTTTAAATAGTCAATATGCATTGTAATATTAAATAAATAATTAACTCTTGGACCAAAGCAAAAGCAAATATAATTCATTATATAGAGCCCTTTCACAGTGAGTAGGCTTACAAGGAGTTATTATTATTAAATCAGTGATGGGAATTTTCCAAAAAATTCTTCTGATCCGATTTTCTAGCGAAAAAATCCGAAATTTTCCCGACACTTTTTTTGGGGGGAAAAAAAAATCCGATTTTATTATTTTTCCATTTTCGGAAGAATGCGAAAAAAGATTTTTGATTTGTTTTGAACATGCGCACATCTGGCCCTTTGACAGTTATGAGTTCTATTTTTTAAATATCTCGTGTTACCGTATTGTGTTAGGTCTAGATCTAGATTATAACTACAGTGACTAGAGTGTTTTATCTTCTTATCTTATATGATACAGACGTTACTTCAAAAAAGAAGATGATTACGTCCTACGCGTCATGCATTTAGTCATGCACATTAACCAATGACTTAAATTCTGCCAAGTCACTGGTTTTTCTGGCTAGCTCAGGCAACCCATTCCATGCTCTAATAGCACTAGGGAAGAAGGAGTATTTGTACAAATTTGTCCTAGCATATGGGACGAGAAATGTGCCTTTATCTTTGTGTCTTGCAGAGTATTTTATTAAATTTTGTTTTTGTATTTGAAGATTATGGTTCAGTGTTTTATGTAAAATTGCTACTTTACTTTTGAGTCTTCTGTCCTGAAGGCTTTCTAAATTTAGTGATTTTACTAATGGTGTTACCCTAGTCAAATGTGAATATTCGTTTGTTATGAATCTCACTGCTCTATTTTGTGTTTGTTCCAGTTTCTTTATGTTTTCTTGAGTTGAGGGGTCCCACACGGTGGATGCATATTCTATTATTGGCCTAACCAAGGTTAAATAACATTTTAGTTTTATGTTCTTATTTGATTTATAGAAATTTCTTTTAATAAACCCTAATGCTTTGTTGGATTTTTTTATAGTTTCATCAATATGTGGATTCCATGACAGTTTTTCATTTATTATAACACCTAGGTATTTTGAGTTTTTAGTCTGTGTTACTGGTTTGCCATGAATAAGATAAGTGGAATTAATTTGTTTTAGTTTTTTTGTTACTCTTAACAACTGACATTTTTCTGGGTGGAAAGACATGCTCCAATTTGATTCCCATTTCTGTAATTCATCTAATTCTCTTTGTAAAATATCTGTGTCTTGTTTTGTTTTTATTGTTCTATATATTATGCAATCGTCTGCAAATAATCTGACTTTTGTTCCTGAACTAATGCAATTTGGTAAATCATTTATGTAAATTAAAAATAGTAGTGGACCCAAGACTGTTCCTTGAGGTACACCTGAGTTTACTGTTATTGGTGTTGATTTAGAGCCATTTATTATTACAGTTTGTTCTCTCCCTATCAGAAAATCTTTAATCCACTGATGCAGTGGACCGTTAATGCCGAAATATTTTAATTTTTTAAGCAAACTATGGTGGTGAACTTTGTCAAAAGCCTTGGAAAAATCTAGTAAGATAGCATCTATTTGTTCACTATTATCTAAACCTTTTGAAAAATCATCAATTAGTCCTATTAGTTGTGTTTCACATGATCTATATTTCCTAAAGCCATGTTGGTATGGGGTGAGGACATTATGTTTGTCTAAGTGGTTTATGATATTGCTACATATTATGTGTTCTAGTATTTTACATGTGATGCTGGTAAGTGATACTGGTCTGTAGTTTCCTGGATCAGATTTTTCTCCTTTTTTAAATAGGGGGGTTTTGAATCAGTCTAGATAGATATATTATAGATATATCTAGTTTCTTTAATTTGAATACTTTTGTTCTAGATTATCTAGAGCGTTTAGACTCAATGGCTGCTTGCCAGCTTGAAAAGTTAAATAATAGAGTATCATGATCGATGCCGGTCGCTATGCGCTATTAATTTTTATTTGTTCATACGAATTTACGATGGCCCCTAGATTTTCTAATTTGAACCCTGCCTGCCGACTTCCATGAGTTCAAATGGTATTAGATTTAGACATATAGATCTATAAGATCTAAATCTAGTAGATCTACCGGCCATCTAGGCTGAATATAGATTTTATAGATATATGTGTAATGCTTACTTTACATGACTATAGTGAGTTACTGAGTAAAAGACTGATAGAATATAGGTCTAATAATAATATATTGGTTCTAAAGTCACTAGAGATGTAGATCCAAGGTATTAGATTTAGGTAGATCTAGATTATAGCTAGGTCTATAGGGATAAATATATATTTAAGTTTTTTTCTATATCTAATAACTAATCATTATTAATGCCCAGTGTGGTAGAAATCCACTTCTTATAAACAACTTGTATCTGCATGAAAAAGAGTCACATAAGGATTGAGGAAGCCTCAATATGCAGTTTTATTGTTTAACATTCTCTTCCTCTAAGCATTTCTCCTCATCTGGTTGTTCTTCCTTGTCTTGCTTAAGAACTCAGCAGAGATTTAGCAGTTTTCTCTCAATTGCTTTTCCAAGCATTTTTGGTGGATTTCATGTGCAAATTTTAATAAACAGCTTCTCCTGTACAAAATGTAATAATTAGTGAAGCATACAGAATTGTAGCT